CGTACTTCTGGACCATGGACGGGGACCTAACTAACTCATATGACGAACAGGGTTTTAGACAAACTCCCAAATCTGTTGGGACCTATGATTCAAATCATCGGAGAGACAATCGGGATGCATATCAGTGTCTTGATTGGTGGCCCGGAGCCACAGAGGAAGGGTCAGCTGAATGTGTTTGGGTACGTTGCTTTCATAATTCATTTATTTGATTCCCCTTGCTGAAACACTCGGTAGGATTCATCATGGTGAAAACAAAGCGGCGATTCCGAAGGTTTGGGCTTTGGCGGAAAAAGACAAGTTCAAGGTGGTAAACGAAGTGTTTCTATCTTTTCTCTCAACTTGTTACAGTAAGTGTCGTCATTTTATTTCACTGTGCACAATGTCTAATATACAACAGCTGCGGAGGAGCAGCGCGCGCGCGCTTTACCTGAAGACCTGACTGGCGACGGGAACGCCATTGCTGGCCCTTCATCCTCAGGCATCGATTCGTCTCAGCCAACTACCGCTATGCCCCCAAACTCCTCGGATGTAGCGGGTGGTAAGCGGAAGCACCGCACAGAGAAGAAGGACAAGAAGGCCAAGAAGAGTCGAACGACGCACCAGAAGCACAAGAAGAACAACAAGAGGCCAAACAAACGCCGCAAGCCGAACGTTGCCTCTGATGAGGACGGTTCCAGTGGTGAAGACACCTCTGATCCTTCAGAGGTGGAAAGTAGCGAGGATGACGAGGACGAGGAGGATGAAGATGAAGATGACGACGACGACAAGCCCGTCAATCCGCGGCTCACCAAACACACGTCGATGGATCCAAAGCGTTGGAAAACCAAAGCCACGACAGCTGTCAACACTGATGATTCCATCAGCATCAATGTCAAGGCAACCAACGCAGCGACAGTCCCTCCGCCGACCGCTCCCTCCCCTGTTCGCCCCATGCCAGAAAGTCCCCCCACACCAGCAACTGCTTCTGCTCTTACTTCCCTCCCACCAGCCGCACCCTTGCCCCCCCCTCCCCTCTCGCAGCCTTCCTCCCCAGTTCTCCCCTCACCAGCAGGTCCCTCCACACTGGCCCTTGCTTCTGGTGTCACTCCGGCTGCTCCGCCGTGCACGAAGGCTCCACAAGAAGCCGTCTCGTGGCCTTCTTGGTTTGCTGATGCCCACGCATTCCTGTCAAGTCAGAATCTAGGCCCCAACTTCGCATTCCTGATCGAACAATTCACGGATTTAGAGCGACGCACCGACTTTGCCCCAGGCGCATGTTCTGCAGGCTTTAAGCCAGACAACAGGCCTGCAGAAGTCCATTACTGGATTTCTCGTGGGCGAGCAATACAGCCGAAGGTCGACACGGTGGCTGATTTTGAGAAGAGTTGGTGGAAGTGGTGGAAGGGGCTTCAGCCAGAATGGAGGGCTGTATCAGATGTAGTCGGCCCTCTCAACTCCTCGCATCGTTCGAACTTGGTGAGCGGTGCCGATTGGTCAGTAGTAAACAAACATGGTAGAAACGCTTTTTTTTCTGTGATGGCGACTCTCGTCTGGTGGGGTGTAGCGCTTCCCACTCTATCCACTGCAGATGAAGGTTGGATGGCGGCCATTCAGGATGTGGGATGGGTGCTCACTGGTCTGTTAAGTGCCAGGTTTGTGTTTTCTCGTCTAATACTGTTCATTTATTCATTCTACTTTCCTGTATAGCTCATCAATGCTGATTTCTACCAACGCCTCCCATGTCCTTCCCCCATCCACGTCGATTTCTATTGGCACCTCGCGCAAGCGCAGGCGCTAAGGTGCACCTACCTCCTGTTTGCCATCGCGCACTGCTCACGCGGTTGTTTCACGTCGATTTCTATTTGCGCCTCGCTTGTCGATTTCTATTTGCGCCTCATGCTAAGGTG